TCTGCCTAAGCCCCCAGCCTAAGCTGCAGTCTGACCTCCCTCTGCAGGATGTGACCTGGTAGATCAGGGGAAGGTGCCACCTCTATTACCCTGCTGCTGCTGCCACTGCCAGCCTGAGCCTGGGCCCTTTGCAGCTGTGCCTCGGCCCTTCGCAGCCTCACGTCCCTTGGCTGGTGCCGGCAGGGAATGTAGCCTCATGTCCCCCCGCCTCACCATGCATGCAGCCCTGCCCACCCGTGCCCCTCTCCCACGCATGCAGCCTTCTGCTGATCGGTTGTTATGCATGTGATGACCATTTGCATATTAGCTCTTTATTATATAGGATAGAATAAACTTGCTTAATTAGACTTGCTTTTTGATTTAGCTAAACTTTTTCCAGCCCAGTGAATCACCCCAACTTCTCTTTCAGGTAATTGTCAACAACACAGCAGTAAATATTAACACAAAGCAGATTATTATTGTAGATCATGCAGGGAGAACAAAGGGTAAAATATTGAAGGGCAGCAGTGTTTGACCATATTCTGTGCAATTAGAGAACCTGAAGTCATTTTTAAGGTCCAACATTTCTTACTTCTTTTCAGTCGGGTCAAGTTTCTAAACTTTCTAAATCTCCGTTTTCCGGCAAATGAAAATAAAATAAAATTCCACCGAGTGTCCTATTTACCTACACCAGGACTTCTGTGAGGATCAAATGAGATGAGGCATGGGAAAATGCTTAACATACATTTGGTTAAAGCAGTGGTTCTAAACCTTCCTAATGCTATGATCCTTTAATACAGTTTCTCATGTTGTGGTGACCCCCAATATCATTGTTACAAATTGAACATAATTAAAGCATAGTGATTAATCACAAAAACAATGTTATTATATGTGTGTTTTCCGATGGTCTTAGGCAATCCCTGTGAAAGGGCCGTTTGACCCCCAAAGGGGTTGCAACCCACAGGTTGAGAACCACTGGGTTAAAGTGTGAAATGTTTGCACCTCCCTATAAAGCAAGTCATATTCCTGAGCTGAAGAAACTCCAAGGAGGCTAGTTGCTAGGTAGAGGAAGCTAGGGTTGCTACGTGATGTTATTACCCAGCACCCACAGCCAGTTTCTGGGCTGGGCTGGGCTGGGGGCTGCATTTCATGCCATGGGGTCTTGGCAGTGTTGACTGCGATTTGGTGGGGTGTCGGGGCCTGTGTCCCACGTGGGGGAAGCTGAATGTGGCTTCGTCAGCATCAGGTCTGCAGTGCCGTTTCTTTGGAAATGGCCAGTGTGCGTCATAGCAGCTCCTGCATTGAGCGTCTGTTCCCTGCACATCATAGCAACCAGTCGGACAGTCAGAGGAACACTTAGTAATAGCCTTTACATATATAGATATTTTTAAGACAGTGCCTGATGCATAGTGCTAAATATGTGATACAAATTCTTTCAGGTAATTTTTAAAAGCTTGTTTTTGGATTTAACTTGTTTTGAGTATACACATAAAGTCCTAACCAAACTATAATATCTCCTTTATAAATTGTTTTGTGTTTTGCATAGAGCTATGCATCTGAAAAGATGTGATGAGAAATGCAACTCTCTGGGAAAAGAATTTGCTTAAGACCACATTGTATAAAAGCTGTTATATTTCTGGTCAGCTTACTCTAGGTACCAGATCATAACTAAAATTACTAATTGATTCTATCTATACCTAATTGATTTTATCTATACCTAAGGATTCTTAAAATTGGATCTGATAAAAACAATTTTAAAAGTAATTGAGCCCTAGCTGGTTTAGCTTAGTGGATAGAGTATCAGCCTATGGACTGACGGGTCCAGGTTCGATTCCAGTCAAGGGCACATGCCTGGGTTGCAGGCTTGATCCCCAGTGTGGGGCTCAATATATATATATGTATGTATGTATATGTATACACATACACACATACACATATATGTACACACATATACATACATGTATACATACATACATATATATATGTTTAAAGTAATTGATAGTCGTCTGGCTGGTGTGGCTCAGAGGTTGAGCGTTAACCTATGAACGAGGAGGTCACGATTCCATTCTTGGTGAGGGCACATGCCTTGGTTTTGGGCTCGATCCCCAGCGTCAGGCATGCAGGAAGCAGCTGATCAATGATTCTCTTTCATCATTGATGTTTCTCTCTTCCTTCCTCTCTGAAATCAATAAAAAATGTATTTTTAAAAAGTAATTGATAGTGGCTAAACCCATTCTGTGGACTTAGGGTTGTCTCTGACTGTAATTGTTTGCATTGTTACTTTAATAACAGTGCTTATGGAACTGCTTTCCAAAAAGATTTTGATCTAAGAATTTTGTCATATTTTAGTAATTCTTCTGATCACTAAACAGGCCCCCCACCTTTATTTTAAACAAATGTCACATGCTATATTCTATACTGTACTAATCAAGTCAATCTGTGAGCATGAGCTGTAAGTTCACTCATGCTCAGGGTATATACTATCTATTTTTGGAATGTGTTGATTTTGTTTTTGGAATTTTGGAACTGGATAAGAAAAGTCTCAGGGGAAAGGTATCGTATCTAATAGACAAATATGGTAATTGACCATACCTTCGCTAAGCCTCCCATTGGCTAATCAGCACAATATGCAAATTAACCAACAAAGATGGCAGTTAATTTGCATACATAGGCTCCAAGTGGCGGAGGAGGGAAGACTGAAGGAAGGCAAGCCGGAGCAGCGGAGACAGAAGATTGAAGGTGGCTCCAGCCGGAGTAAAGGCCTGGGTCCTGGGTGCCGGAGGAAAACCGGTGCTGGCAGCCAGGGGAAGGGAAGGCCTATTGCACAAATCTCTTCATGCAACAGGCCTCTAGTTATTTATAAATGTCCTACTATATGTGGTTTTAACTGATTTTTGTGATAATCTGAAAATTATAATTGGCAGTTTCAGAATAGGCATCTAGTCAAAAAAGCAAATGAATGAATAAATGATTGCAGAGGGAAAGCATCCCTTATATCCAGCACTGATTGACAAATGCTTTCAATATTAGAAAGCACCAAGTTTATTATGGGTCCACAGTCCCTTTCCCTGAAATCCGTGGGGCCAGTGCCCAGAAACAGAGGGAACCAAACGAACCCCTGTGCTGTGGAGGGAGGTACACCTGCAATCCAAGGGAACCCCATGTCCCAGACCAAAGGCCGCCCAGCAACCCCCCTCCCCAACCTTCTGCAATCCTTAGGGGGCTCTGTCCTGCCTAGTTGGGAATCCCACCCCCAAAGGAGGTGCCCTCCTGCACCTTTGGAAGCTCAGGTGGGTGAGAGGCAGATGGGAGTGCTCAGTGAGAGATCTGGTTCCAGGGAAGGGCAGAGCACAAGCTGGAACTCAGTGTGGTGGCCAGGGCTGAGGGGCTTAGAGGCGAAGTGTGGGCTCTTAAGATTCCTGGACGCCACCTTCAGCGTCTAACCTGGGACCCTTCAGTCTGCAGGCCAACGCTCTATCCACCGAGCCAAACTGGTTGGGCCCAGATTGATTTTTTAGCCAGAATTTTCTCAGCTCCTTTAAGATCCTTTTTGGTCTGGTCATTTGGGTCTCCATTTCCTCAAATGTTTGTTGGTGCTGATCTGTCTGTTCATATTGAATATTTTCCTCATTGCAATCTAGATTCTTTGCTGACAAGTGGTTAACACTTTCATCGCCTGTGTAGTTTTCAAAGTGGAAATATTTTTATTGCTTTTAGTAATTTAAGAAAACTAGTAAGTGGGTATTCTTTTTAAGAGCATTCAAACACTATAGAAATATACAAACACAGAAAATTAAAGGCTCTATAATCCCATTCCCATATAACTATCTGCAGAAGGTATGGGCAGATTTAGTCATAAATAAAAAGATCTATAACACATAAAAAATGAGGCAATAATTAACTCTGAAAAAATATAATAGCACACTTGTTAGCTCAGAAGTGAACAGTATTTACATGGTCATTAAATAAAAATGGACTTAACCAACAATTTTAACATAACCATACTGAAAACTGGAGAAAGGCAGTGGGGAGTATAGAAGATGGAAAAATCCTCTATCCCTTTATGAATTAAGTAGAAAAATATATGCATCTTATTTAGGAAAATATATGTACATATGAAAAGAAACACCTTAAATTAGCTGCTTTAGGGGAATGGAACTTGGGTGCCAAAGGCAAGGTAAATTAATGCTGTTTGGTTATAAGCATTTTAGAGCTACTTTATATTTTAGGGGAAATTATAATGTAATCCAGATTGGGATCAAGCTATAAGAAATAAGGTGACAAGCACCCATATTAAAAACAAAATTCTCTTGAAAATTTTTTTAATATTTAATAAGAATACATCATTCAACTTTTTCCAGTCTTTATGAAGGTTTTTTCTTGCTGGTGAAATTTATTTTAAAAGTCCTCATGTAAACTAATCAAGGCTAATAAATTTTTTTAATGAACCCTCAAACAAATCTTTTTAATATATACCTTATTTCCTGGGATGACAATAGCATTATTATATATTTTCTTTTTAATTCAAATATAGTTTTCAAGATTAATGGTTATTAACAAATCTTTATTATTAATACTCTCCTAAGGCAGGATAGAAGCATGATACTTTAAAATTTCTTTTCAATAACTATTTTATAGTAATTTTAAAAATACATATTAATTTTAGAGAGAGAGAAAGGGAGAGAGATAAAAATATCAATGATTAGAGAGAATCATTGACTGGCTGCCTCTTGCAAGCCTCACACTGGGGATTGAGCCTGTATCCTGGGCATGTGACCTGACCTGCAATTGTACCATGACCTCCTTGGTTCCTAGTTGATGCTCAACCACTGGGCCATGCTGGCCAGGCTGATGTTCCACTTTTTTATGCATATATTGATTGATTCTTATATGTGCCCTGATTGGGGACTGAACCCACAACTTTGGTGTACTGGGATGACGCTCTAACCAACTCAACTATCTGGCTAGGGTGAACTATTTTATAGTAAAAAAATTACTTGGCATTAAGTATTTTTATGATCAAATTCTAAAAACAATCTTTAGTCCCAACTGAACTTGGTACTCTAAGATTAAATCTTTAAAAAAAATATTTACATAATAAATATAATTTTAATCACTAAGTTCTTCCTCATCACTGAAATATGTGCTTTTCTTTATCCTTGGGCGCCTTGAATCATCAGAGGTTGAGGGACCCCCTGAACTGGGTTTCCACTTTTTTTGTTCTTCTTCAATTTTGGCTTGCTGTAAGAAAACAAACAAAACCAGGAACCTGTTTATTATGGTACGTTAATTCAAAATAATGCAAAACCATATCACGCATGCCAACACTCCCCACCCTCCCAGTCTGTGCAAACAATTCTACTTCATCAGAATGCTCCTCCCTCACTCTCGATATATCCGTTTCACCATGTTACTCAAAATTATTTCAGGCAGCCCTGACCAGTTTGGCTCAGTGGATAGAGCGTCAGCCTGTGGACTGAAGGGTCCCAGGTTCGATTCCGGTCAAGGGCATGTACCTTGGTTGCGGGCACATCCCCAGTGTGGGGTGTGCAGGAGGCAGCTGATCAATGTTTCTCTCTCATTGATGTTTCTAAACTCTCTATCCCTCTCCCTTCCTCTCTAAAAAAAAAAAATAAAATAAAACAAAAAATTGGAGGAAAGCAAAAATGTGGGTTGGAACAAACAGAAGTTTAAGATGGTTATTGAAGGTGGGAATTATAAAATATGAAATTAGGTAACTAAAAGGAAAAATAAATTGACGTATACATTTACCATTTGTCAACTACATTAAAACAAAATATCTGGTTATATAAAAATTAGGAGATTATGTATGCTTCTTTAAAAAATATTTCATATATTTGTATTAGGGTCTTTAGTTGTCAAAAATATGTTTTTGGTTTTGTTTTGAAGCGAAGCTTCTTTCAAAGGTATCTTTTCAATATCTTTAATAAAATCTTTTCTGTTGGGCTAAACTCACTTTAATCAAATAGTTCTGCTCAATTCTATAATGAAAACAAATTATGCTATTAAAAGTGTTATAGGGTCCTTAAAATCTAGGAGACAGCCGAAACCGGTTTGGCTCAGTGGATAGAGCGTCGGCTTGCGGACTGAAAGGTCTCAGGTTCGATTCCGGTCAAGGGCATGTACCTTGGTTGCGGGCACATCCCCAGTGGGAGTGTGCAGGAGGCAACTGGTCGATGTTTCTCTCTCATCGATGTTTCTAACTCTTTATCTCTCTCCTTTCCTCTCTGTAAAAACTCAATAAAATATATTTTAAAAAAAAAATCTAGGAGCAAATAGGAACTTTTCTATCATAATGTTTCTAAAGACCTTAGAAAAGTAGTCAGTCTCCTGAAGTTTAGGAGGAGAAGGGGAAAGACAGGTTGCCACAATGAGGAGATGATTAATAAAGTAAGTAAGGAATATAAAACTGTTAACCCAAGGCTGCTATGGCATGGTGCCTTTTAAAAAAACTACTTAGTACCTGGAAAGCTATGGCCTGACTGAGGCTGTCAAGAGAAGGATCTTCTCCTTCATCTTCACTTTCTTCTACTTCTTCACTAAATTAAAAAAAAAAAAATCAGAATCCATTTAAGCAATAGTAAAAAGACAGAAACAACACTATAATGTATTTAGTAAGAGTGGATATACATACATTTCTTCTTCTGGTTCAGGAATTTTCTTTTTTTTCTTTTTCTCTTTCTTCTTTGGAGGTTCACGTTCTCCAAGCATATTTTTAGGACAGGCATAACTTAAGTGTCCACTTTCCTTTTGTTTCCCATTAAAAAGGAAAGGAAAATATTATATTTGTTGTGTTATTAATAGAAACTTGCCTGGTACCTGAAGCCTAAAAGGTGTTAGAACTTAAAAAAATAAAAAAAGATACTGTCACACTGGAAACATATATGAAGAAATGAATAAAACCCATTAATATTTAGAAGGTAATTTTAACTCCTAATAAACTATTTTAACAATAAGAAAGTATTTTAGAAGTCCACAAAGAACTAAGAGTAAAAGAAGTATTCTTCCTCCAAACATTTTAAATACATGCTAAAAAATAATTCAAAATTTAAATGAACTATCTACCTTGAATATAAACATTTTAAGTTATCCTATCTAATAGAGGGAATATGCTAATTGACCCTCACACCATCACAAAGATGGCAGTGCCCTCAGCCAATAAGGAGGGAATATGTGAATTGCTGCCCCTCCTTCAAAGATGGCAGCAGCCATAGCCAATAAGGAGGGAATATGCTAACTGACTGCCACACCCTCAAAGATGGCGGCGCCCAGTTCCCTCAGCCCTGCCTTCAGAGTCCCCTGTATCTTCAGCCCCCAAGCCACTCAGGGCCAGCCCAAGACACAGGCAAGCCTCGGATGTCAGCTCCCCAGCCTCCTAGGGCTGCCCAACGCTGAGGTAACCAAGGCCAGCCGAGGCTTGCGCAGCTGGCAGTGGCAGCAGCAGAGGTGTAATGGGGGTGTTGCCTCCTGCCCCTGAGGGCTCCCGGACTGTGAGAGGGGGCAGGCTGGGCTGACGGACACCACCCCCCACCTCCAGTGCATGAATTTTCATGCACTGGGCCTCTAGTTACTTGATAAAATTGGGACAAAACTATTCCTAACTCCCAAGATGTTGCTTAACATTCTGTTTCAAAAACAAATTTAGTTTCCTCATTTTTCCAAATTAATTTCATTTTGCTTCTTTCATATCTAGACGATCCCTGCACTGTCCAATTATGGTAACCACTAGCCATAATTCTTTTGTGGTTAGCGAAAACCTGTTTAAATTGATATGCATTATAAGGGTAAATATATACAAGATTTTGAAGATAATATGAAAAAAGAAAGTAAAATATCTTAATTTAAAAACATTAATTACCATAGTTTAAATGATTATATTTTACATTTTAGATACATTTTGGGTTAAGTAAAAGATTTAAATTTTATTTGTTTCTTTTTCAATGTGGCTACTAGAAAATTTAAAATTATATTTGTGGCTTGCATTGTATTCATATTTGACAGTGCTAGACTAACCATCTATCCTATCTAATAGAGAGGGAATATGCTAATTGACCCTCAGGCCATCACAAAGATGGAGGCGCCTACAGCCAATAAGGAGGGAATATGCTAATTGCCTGCCACTCCTCAAAGACGGCGGTGCCCACAGCCACAAGATGGCTGGTGGGGAGGGCAGTTGTGGTAGATCAGGCCAGCAGGGAGAGGGCAGTTGGGGGTGAACAGGTCTGCAGGGGAGGGTAGTTAGTGGCAACCAGGCCAGGCTGGCAGGGGAGGGCAGTTAGGGGTGACCAGGGCTGCAGGGGAGGACAGTTAGGGGCAACTGGGCTGGCAGGAGAGGGCAGTTGGGGGTGACCAGGCCTGCAGGGGAGGGCAGTTGGAGGCGATTGGGCCAGTAAGGGAGCAGTTAGGTGTCGATCAGGCTGACAGGGGCGTGGTTAGGGGATGGTCAGGCTGGCAGGCAGAAGTGGTTAGGGACAATCAGGAAGGCAGGTAGCAACCGGTTGGGAGCCAGCAGTCCCTGATTGTGAGAGGGATATCCAATTGCTGGGCTAGGCCCGATCACACCAGCAGTTGGACATGCCCCAAGGGGTCCCAGATTGAAGAGGGTGCAGGCTGGACTGAGGGACACTCTCCCCGCAAGAGCACGAATATATTAGTATACATAAAAGCCTAAGTGATCGGTAAGACCAAATGACCAGAATGACCAGAAAGCAAGACT